ACATGTGTTAGCAGGTGTTTCCCCAAAATGTTCTCCGATACTGGATTACATCTGCGTCCCCTTGTCATGCTCCATCCAAGCGTTAGGTCTAGTAACCAAATCTGTGAGAGGACAACCGGTCAGGCGAAAAACCCTGTTTGGTAGCCAAGAAGCCACATGTTCATGGAGCGTGGGTGAAGGCTCCTTGGCACGCTGTGGCATGCCGGGTGCAAGGTGTGCCTCAGCATAGGTGGAGCATCACTCCCACACTGAGGGAGTCCTCACTTGGTATCAAATGCACAAACTTCTGAATGCCTAGCAGGATAGTTCAGCAGCTAAATGAAGGCAGGTGTTTGCATCAGAAGCTGAAGAAGTGGGCTTCTGAGCATCCCTAATTTGTTACTTACAACCAATACCAGGCTTGAGTGATGAGCAAGCTGCTTTACAGTAGGGAGATGTGGGCAACTTACACCTGACAGGAGTGATGCCTCAACGCCTTCCCCATGCGCTGCATCAGGAAGATTTTGGGCAGCGCATGGCAGGGCAGAGTCTCAAACAGAGATGTGCTCCTCCCTTGCCCACATCTCCAGCATGTTCACATTTCTGTCTCAGTGACGTCCACGCTGGCTTGGAAATGTTCACAGAATGGAAGACTGCCGAATCCCCAATGATGTACTCTACAGGGAGCTGGCTTCAGGCACCAGGCCCATTGGCAGACCACTCTGTGTTACAAAGATGTCTGCAAACACGACATGAAGGTTGGCAACATCAACTCCACCATGTGGGAATCCCTTGCAGACAACCCCAATGTCTGGACACAGTCAGTCAGGTTGTGTATCCACAACAGTGACCAGAGGAGCAATGACCCCTGGGAGGAGCGCAGAAGGAAGAAACACCATGGTAAACCTGCATTAGCACAACTGGATGCCTTCATCTGTCCCAGTTGCAACAAAACATGTCTTTCCCTTATCTGTCTTTACAGCCACAGCAGGTGCTGTAACTCTCCAATGGTTTGACTCAAAGGCACACTTTCCTATTGTCTCCCAAGACATACAGATGCCAACAATAACCACAAGAAATTTATTTATTTCCAATATTTATAGACTGCTTTTCACCATAGAGGGTTACAAAATGATTTTACAGCAATCGATAGAGGAATTCATCAAGCAAATGCTACAGTGTTGAAAGCAGCAGCAGCAGCAACAACAACAACATTTTTTTCGGTCTTGTAAGCCTCCCAACCAACAATCAGACTGACTTCTAAAACTCAAAGACAATATTGATTTACACTACAAACTTGTATCTGTGTAACTTCTATACCAGTTTAACTGTCCTGGTCTCCATCAAAGAATCCTGGGAGGTTTTTTGGCGATGCTTCTGAGAATCATTTGTTAGAGACCCCTCCCTGCACAGTATTACTGTTCCCAATGCTTCCAGGGGTTAAGAAAATTCTATTAAACCATTTTAAGAATTCAACAACAACAACAACAATTATTTATATCCCGCCCATCTGGCTGGGTTTCCCCAGCCACTCTGTGAGGCTCCCAACAGAATATTAAAAATAGAATCAAGCATTAAAAACTTCCCTAAACAGGGCTGCCTTCAGATGTTTTCTAAAAGTCAGGTAGTTGTTAATTTCCTTGACATCTGATGGGAGGGTGTTCCATAGGGCGGGTACCACTACTGAGAAGGCCCTATGCCTGGTTCCCCTGTAACCTCACTTCTTGCAATGAGGGAACCAGCGGAAGGCCCTCGAAGGAGGACCTCAGTGTCCGGGCTGAACAATGGGGGCGGTATAGATATGGCCAAAATCTTAGACCTTCTGACCTGAAACACCAGTCACTATTCTTTGCTTCTCTATTTGTTGCATGGGAAATTGGCAGAATCTCTGCAGGGAAATGTATGTCAAAACTTTCCTTCTCAACTCACAAAGGGATTCTAGACCCTCTGCCTACAGGCTTTTCGTCAGAAGAATTATTTATTCCACAAGCAGCCTGCAGGCTTATAAACACAAGCTGTCGTCTTCAGTTGAAAGAACAACTCCTTATTGATTTCATCGGGGTCTGAAGGCAGATCTTTTCCTCTCCATCCCTCTCTGTTGGACTAGCACAGAAGCAGAAGCAAAGCAAGGAGACAGAATCCGAAGTAGAGGAGGTACCAATTGCTTGGATGAAGG